TTTGTCTTTTTTTTTTTTTTTTTTGAGACGGAGTCTTGCTCTCTGTCGCCCAGGCTGAAGTGCAGTGGCACAATCTTGGCTCTCTGCAACCTCTGTCTCTTGGGTTCAAGCCATTCTCCTGCCTCAGCCTCCCAAGTAGCTGGGACTACAGGCACGAGCTGCCACGCACAGCTAATTTTTATATTTTTAGAAGAGACGGGGTTTTGTCATATTGGCCAGGGTGGACTCGAACTCTTGACCTCAGGTGATCTGCCCACCTTGCCCTCCCAAAGTGCTGGGATTACAAGCGTGAGCCACTGTTCCCAGTTGTTTTTCTTTCTTTTTTAGCCCATGCTTTTTATACTTTACCAGACCACCTCAGTATGATCAGATGCAACCGCAAAAAATGATAACAAAAGATGACATATGTAGAGGCTTCCTATGTGTCAAGCACTGTTCTAATTACTTTATATTGACTCTGACTCATTTAATCTTCACAAGAACCTTGTAAAGTAGGTATTATTATCTTCCATTTCTTCAGATAAAGAAACTGCAACATAGCTGGGTTAAGATTTTCAGATCTCCTTGAAACATATATAAGCGTATATAACGTTAAGATATGCCCCAGATCACCCAGATAATGTCTCTCCTCTAAAATCTTCTGATGGTTTTTCGTGCACAGAATAAAATCTAAACTCCTTAGCAAGACTCTCCATGATCTGAAATTCACATCTTGTAATGCCTGCCCCTCACCTGCAAAAGCCTATGGTTCAGCCAGACTTTTTCCCCAGTCTTCGAACACACTGTTCTTGTCCCCTCAAATCTTCATGCCTTAGACCAATTCCTTGGCTTTTTCCCACCTAGTTTTCTGGTCCAACTTCTACCTATTCTTTAACATTCGGTTCAAATGTCACTTTTTTTTTTTTTTTGGGACGGAATCTCGCTTTGTCATCCAGGCTGGAGTACAGTGGTGCTATCTTAGCTCACTGTAACCTCTGCCTCCCGGGTTCAAGCGATTCTCCTGCCTCAGCCTCCGGAGCAGCTGGGATTACAGGCGCCCACCACCACGCCTGGCTAATTTTTGTATTTTTAGTAGAGACGGGGTTTCACCATGGTCTCGAGCTCTGACCTCAGGTGATCCGCCCACTTTGGCCTCCCAAAGTGTTGGGATTACAGGTGTGATCCACCGCGCCCGGCCTCAAATGTCACTTTCTCAGCAAACCTTTTCCTGGTGTCTTCCCTGCTTTCTGGTGTTCCTGGTGTATCCTGCCTGTTCCACAGTGGTCAATGGACTTGTGCTTACCCTAAGATCTCTCGCTACACTGTAACCATTACTTTCCATTTCTGCCTTCACACCTACCTCCAGGACTGAATTAGGGGAACTGTGTCTTTCCCCTGGGGTCCATCATATTCATTCAATGGTTATGGTATACCTAGTGCTGTTTGAAGTATTCGGCATACATCTGTGAACCAAACAGGAAATCAACCCTGCCCTCGGGAAGGCTCATCACCGAGCCTACTGATGAAGGAACAAATGAGATGAAAAGAAAATAGCATAAATGGAATTCACCTGAAAATATGCCACTCTAAAGGGAAACTGTTGACAGGTAGGAAAAGTAGGACGCCCCATGGACAAAGAGTCAACTCTGTCTTTATGACAGGCCAACTCAGCGGGTGCCCACCACGCTTGGCTCCAATTCAAAGAGCCACCATCTTTGGTCCCCACCTCAGTGGGTTCCCTTGTGGCCCAACGTCTCCGTGTCTTCATACCTAAACTCGCAGCGGGGCGCCAGGTAAAGATGAGTATTATGGTCCGAGAAGCGAACTTCCAAGTCACCTTCGCCCAGTCGCACCCAAGACATGCCCCTCCCACCTTCTGGGGGAACCAAGATGGCTCCCGGGGAGCCGTGGGCGAGGCCCCTAGAACTCACCTACTTTGAGTCCCCGCGCGCGCCACCAGTAACGGTCGCGACCCGGGTGGAGCGAGTGCGTGCCGAAAAGAGCCGATTTGCTGATTGGCTGCTGCCGCTGTCTTTCACAGCTGCAGCCAGTCGAGCAGAGGCACACCCAAATCCCCACCCCCTCCTCCCCGCCCCCTTACAGCTCAAATGGGAGGTGTCTACCAGGCTGCTGAGATCAGTTAATAAGAAGGTAATTGAAGGCCGCGGTGAGCCAACAGAATAATGCACGTCGATTGGGCAGCTCCAAGGGACAACCCACTACCGCTTGCCCTCCCACCACCCACTTCCCGCGCAGATTTCCAAACCGCGACCAGAGAGTCTGGCGCCAGCTGCCGGCGATGGATAGAGGGGCTCTGCCATAGACGTCCGACGTGTCCGGTACGGCCAGAGCGCCTTTCCTCGGTCCTCCCAGACATGGTGTCCGCTGACTCATGAGAAATGAAAGTGGGTTGCAGTCGTGGCTGGGGGCTGCAGTTTGGAGAACAGCCCGCAGGCGTGGCATTTCACTCCTTGTTGCAGTGGAATTTCATTTCCTTTTGATTTGGTTTGTAGTAGAAGTCATATTATTTCTTCCCGGGAATACATCTCTGACGGACATTTTGAGGTCATTTTCATAAATCCAAGATCCTAAAGATCTGTAGTCGAACAGAGAAAACTGGCTTGCACTCTGTCTTAAAGGCTGTCTCCACCTTTCGAGGGGCGAGGGAAGGATGATAAAATCATTTATTTTTATTTTTTAATTAATTAATTTATTTATTTTGAGATGGAGTTTAGCTCTTGTTGCCTAGGCTGGAGTGCAGTGGCGCGATCTCGACTCACAGCAACCGCCGCCTCCCGGGTTCAAGCGATTCTCCCTGCCTCAGCCTCCCAAGTAACTGGGGTTACAGGCATGCGCCACCACACCCAGCTAATTTGTATTTTTAGTAGAGACCGGGTTTCTCCATTTGGTCAGGCTGGTCTCGAACTCCTGACCTCAGGTGATCCGCCCGCCTCGGCCTCTCAAAGTGGTGGGATTACAGGCGAAAGCCACCGCGATCGGCCATTTATTTGTTCTTTTTTGAGACGGAGTTTCGCTCTTGTTGTCCAGGCTGGAGTGCAATGGCGCGATCTCAGCTCACCGCAATCTCCACCTTCTGGGTTCAAGGAATTCACCTGTCTCAGCCTCCCTAGTAGCTGGTATTACAGGCATGCGCTACCACGACCGGCAAATTTTGTATTTTTAGTAGAGACGGGGTTTCTCCATGTTGGTCAGGCTGGTCTAGAACTCCCAACCTCAGGTGATCCTCCCACCTGGGCTTCCCAGTGTGCTGGGATTACAGGCGTGAGCCACCGCACCCGACCCATTTTATTATCTCACAATAAGACATGAAGAAAATGGTAACTATAACACTTGCATAATTCATAAAGTCCTTTCTGTTGGTTATCTCAATTCTGTCCACAACAGTCAAATAAGCAGATTTTACAAACAAGGAGTTGAAGCCCTGCAAAGTAAAAGGACTCTCCTAGGATCCTACAGCTAATATAGAGACAAATTGAAACAAGTTATCTGATTGTGTATTTTGAGTTATTTCTACTCCCAAAAAATGACTGTTTTCATTTCCCTAAAACATAGAGCATTACATTTTAAGTGGGAAGAGAGGGCTTACACAAGTTGATGTTCCCTTATTTAGAAGGCAACTTAGAAATACATTGATCTGCCCGCCGCGGTGGCTCACGCCGGTAATTCCAGCTCTTTGGGAGGCTAAGACGGGCGAATCACGAGGTCAGGGGATTGAGGCCATCCTGGCTAACATGGCGAAACCCTGTCTGTACTAAAAATACAAAAAAAAAAATTGATCTGTGTGTAATCGAATGTGAATGAACAATGATGTTGACTTGATACTACATTTCTGAGTGGCCAGACTGCAACATCCTGGAGGACAGGGAACTAATTTTTAATCATTTTGTAACCATAGTTCCTAATTTGGTGGATACATAGTAACTATCAAATAAGTGAATAAATCTCTGGGAAGAAGCTGGTGGACTCTGTCTTGAGCCCATCCAATTTTCCTCCATCAATTACCCCTCTCTCCTTTTTCAATACTGGGTATCTTGCAGAGTTTCAATGGCGGCCACCTGGTCAGTGAAATAAGCGAATTGAAAAACCACTGACTTCATTAACATGTCTAAAAAGGTAGGCTGAAAAAACTGAAAATCTATCAGGCATCTCATTCCATAGTTCCCTGTTTGACAAGAAGATCAAGGTGTCTTCAAAGTCTGCCCTAAGGCCCAGATCTCCTACGTGGATGGAGACTTCTAGTTTCACAAATCCCCGATGTCGGTTTCTCTAAACTATTTTATTCTTTGAACATACTCTTCAGACAACATCTCTATCCTGAAAAGCCCTTGCTGCAATTTTGTTTCTCTTTCAAAACAATGACTCGAAAATTCCCAAGGAAATAGCAAGAGGGCGATTCCCTTCTTGAAGTATTTGAGAGAGCAGAAGCTTACTGAAGTTCATGACTTGGGTCACCAAAGGCCAGAGGTAGCAGAGCACGGTGCCACACTCCTCCCCATTTTTCGCTGAGCTAAGCAATTCTGTCTTCCCTAGAGGTACTGCAGCTGGGAGCTTTTAGGGCGTGCCTCACCACCCAACTTCTGGAACCCCAGACTTCTCAATTCCTGCATCCCCAAGAACTGCTCACTTTTTGTACAAAAACCTCAGGCACAGAGGAAAGGAATCTTGCGCAAGGTCGTTTTTCATTTACAAAACAAAAACCCAACAAAAACCAAACCGGTACCCACCCATTCGTCACTTCATTTTGCACCGTGAACAACAATAGGAGACTACAACTCCCAAAGAGGACTGCGCTCGTCCACTGGCTCAGAGGCCAATGGACGCCTGGTACATGACCGGCATCGACTAATCAGGGCCAGGCTCGATGAGGCTTTGTCTCCCGACCGCGCGCGGGGCCGATTCTCCCGCCTCCCAGCCCCGGCGCACGCGCGCCCCGCCCAGCCTGCCTTCCCTCCGCGCCCTCCCCTCTCCTTTCTCCCTCTCAGAACCTTCCTGCCGCCGCGTTCGCACCTCGCTGCTCCAGCGTCTGGGGCGCGTTCCAACCTTCCAGCCTGCGACCTGCAGAGAAAAAAAATTACTTATTTTCTTGCCCCATACATACCTTGAGGCGAGCAAAAAAAATAAATTTTAACCATGAGGGAAATCGTGCACATCCAGGCCGGTCAGTGTGGCAACCAGATCGGTGCCAAGGTAAGAATTTTACACCTCTTTTATTTCTTTTTAGAAGGAAAAATCCAGGTAAGTTATGAAAAAATGGTTGTGGGGCATTTGCACTCTCCATTCTTAATCAAGCTTTGCCCCTCCCAAGTTTGTTACATTTATATATATAATAAGTAGCATTTGCTTTTGGAAAACTGGGAATCATTTTTCTTGGCAGGCACATTTTGGAGAAACTAGTAAAAGGGCTCTTCGGGTTTCGGGGGAGGGAAGACCAACGACATATGTTACTTAAAAGGGCTTCTAACGGTCCAAGAACCGGGCAGGGAGAGAGATGCGGAAACAGTCGGAGACAAAGCGGGGCGAGGTTTTGCCCATGTGCATCCCGCCCAGCCCCCCCTGCGGGGTTCGTAGGGCCAAACGGGAGCGGGAAGGGGTGAGGCTGTCGGGCGGCTGCAGAGAGCTCCAGTGCAAAGGTCGGGGGGCGATGCGCCAGGGTGGGCTGCGCTGGGCGCTACCATTCACAAAAGATCAGGGACCCCAGCGCGCCCGCGACCCCGGAGGGCCAGTCCTGTAGTTGTTCCTGGGTGGAAGGAGAATAAGAACGGGATTAATTTTTCTTGCTTTCATGGCCCCTAAGCGAGACCTCTTTAGGGCGTGAACTGATATGTCGAGAAAATGGGGGTGTGTGGTTTTCTTTAACGAGTCCTTCAGGACTTAATGGGAGAGAAAGAATGCTTTAAATCAAGGGGGAGAAATCTAGCAAAGGAATAAAATTCCGAGGCCAAGGGGTTTTTTTTTTTTTTTGCGCGCGGTTACAGTGTAGCGGGGGAGGGGCGGGAGGAAGTGCGGGTGCTACGTTGTAGCAGAAGGGCGGGGCCCTGCGGGGCGGGGCCAGGGCGCCGCTGGCGCGCGGGGACAATGCGGCGTTGCCCGCCGGGAGGGGCGCGCTACCCTGGGCCCCGCCCCTCGCGCGGAATTCTTGCCCCGGCCCCGCCCACGTTCGAAGTCTTTTGTCGGCGGCTTGACCTGCGCGTGCGCCGCAGTCACGTGGAGGGTGGGGGGTGGTCGACTGCGGCAGTAGCTCTTCTAGTGCCCCGAGCCTTTTGTGCGCCGCGCGGTGGGGCGGTGCCCAGCTCGGGGGAAGAACAGCGGCGCTTATCCAAGTATGGTCGACCTCCATCCGCCCACCGAGCACTTGGGACCCGCTGCACATAATCCCGAGCAGGGAAAACTGTGGCTTTCCCGGGGGAGCGAGTGTCTAGGGGAAGGGTGTGGCAGGCACACGGGATGCCAGGCCCTAGAACAACGGCCTGAGCGCGTGTGGGATTAAAATGGGAGATGTGGGGCTGAGGCGGGCTAATTGGGATCGCTCCCGCTCAGGGGTTTGAGACCATCCTGGGCAACAAAGCGAGACCCCTGCCCCCGGCCACATCTCTTCAAAAAAAAAAAAAAAAATTAACTGGGTGTGGTGGCGCGCGTCTGTGGTCCCAGCTATTCGAGAGGCTGAGATGGGAGGATCCGTTGAGCCTGGGAGTTTCAGGCTGTAGTGATCCGTGATTGCACCACTGCACTGCAGACTGGGCAACAGAGGAAGACCCTGTCTTAAAAATTAAGCTGGGCGCGGTGGCTCACGCCTGTAATCCAGCACTTTAGGAGGCCGAGGTGGGCGGATCAAGAGATCTAGACGTCTCATCCTGGTCAACATGGTGAAACCCGTCTCTACTAAAAATACAAAAATTAGCTGGGCGTGGTGGCGCGCGCCTGTAGTCCCAGCTACTCCGGAGGCTGAGGCAGGAGAATCGCTTGAACCCGGGAAGCAGAGGTTGCAGTGAGCCGAGATAGCGCCATTGCACTCCAGCCTGGCGACAGAGCGAGACTCCGTCTCAAAAAAAAAAAAAGAAAAAAGTTAAGAAAAAGATGAAATAAAATGGTAGTTGGGGACGTAGTTGACTGGGACTTGACTTGTGGTCTCGTTGCTCCTGCCCGGCAGTTCTGGGAGGTGATCAGTGATGAACATGGCATCGACCCCACCGGCACCTACCACGGGGACAGCGACCTGCAGCTGGACCGCATCTCCGTGTACTACAATGAAGCCACAGGTAAAGGCAAGAGCCCGGGCAGCTCAGGTTCTCTTCCCTGTCTCCCACTTCTCTAGGGTCTCTTTCCATTCCTGGGCACGCCTTATCCCCTTTCGGTGAATCTTATCATTTTCTCCCTTTTGTGAACCACCGTCGGGGCCAAAGACGTCTGCTGCCACCTGGTGGCAGGACCTGGAACAAGTCTTGGGTCCCTGCTGTCTTCCATTCCCAGTGTATCTATAAACCTTTCCCTCTGCCAGATCTCACAGTTCTTAACTTTATTCTTTGTAGGTGGCAAATATGTTCCTCGTGCCATCCTGGTGGATCTAGAACCTGGGACCATGGACTCTGTTCGCTCAGGTCCTTTTGGCCAGATCTTTAGACCAGACAACTTTGTATTTGGTGAGTTATATAGATGATATTAGCAGATGATATACTATCGTGTTCAACTTATTTGGGTGCAAGCACACAGCAAAAGTTAGGAGATGATTGTTGTACTGGAGTGCTAAGAACTGTGTTGGGTGCAAGGACACAGCAAAAGTTAGGAGATGATTGTTGTACTGGAGTGCTAAGAACTGTATTCTGAAATCTAATGGAGGGTAGAGGTAGTGCCTGCTGTTGCTGGTACATTATGGGGCAGTGGGGGGAGAATACATCACAGTGAAGGAGAAAGAAGATACATCCAAGGGAATTATTTCTAAAGTTGAAAGATGGAAACATCATGTATCTTCCACACCCTGTTAATTGAGCTTTTCTCCTGACCGCATTCCAGGTCAGTCTGGGGCAGGTAACAACTGGGCCAAAGGCCACTACACAGAGGGGGCCGAGCTAGTTGATTCTGTCCTGGATGTGGTACGGAAGGAGGCAGAGAGCTGTGACTGCCTGCAGGGCTTCCAGCTGACCCACTCACTGGGCGGAGGCACAGGCTCTGGAATGGGCACTCTCCTTATCAGCAAGATCCGAGAAGAGTACCCTGATCGCATCATGAACACCTTCAGTGTGGTTCCTTCACCCAAAGTATCTGACACCGTGGTCGAGCCCTACAATGCCACCCTCTCCGTCCATCAGTTGGTAGAGAACACTGATGAGACCTATTGCATTGACAACGAGGCCCTCTATGATATCTGCTTCCGTACTCTGAAGCTGACCACACCAACCTACGGGGATCTGAACCACCTCGTCTCAGCCACCATGAGCGGTGTCACCACCTGCCTCCGCTTCCCTGGCCAGCTCAATGCTGACCTCCGCAAATTGGCAGTCAACATGGTCCCCTTCCCACGCCTCCATTTCTTTATGCCTGGCTTTGCCCCTCTCACCAGCCGTGGAAGCCAGCAATATCGAGCTCTTACAGTGCCAGAACTCACCCAGCAGGTCTTCGATGCCAAGAACATGATGGCTGCCTGTGACCCCCGCCACGGCCGATACCTCACCGTGGCTGCTGTCTTCCGTGGTCGGATGTCCATGAAGGAGGTCGATGAGCAGATGCTTAACGTGCAGAACAAAAACAGCAGCTACTTTGTGGAATGGATCCCCAACAACGTCAAGACAGCTGTCTGTGACATCCCACCTCGTGGCCTCAAGATGGCAGTCACCTTCATCGGCAACAGCACGGCCATCCAGGAGCTCTTCAAGCGCATCTCGGAGCAGTTCACTGCCATGTTCCGCCGGAAGGCCTTCCTCCACTGGTACACAGGCGAGGGCATGGACGAGATGGAGTTCACTGAGGCTGAGAGCAACATGAACGACCTCGTCTCTGAGTATCAGCAGTACCAGGATGCCACCGCAGAAGAGGAGGAGGATTTCGGTGAGGAGGCCGAAGAGGAGGCGTAAGGCAGAGCCCCCATCACCTCAGGCTTCTCAGTTCCCTTAGCCGTCTTACTCAACTGCCCCTTTCCTCTCCCTCAGAATTTGTGTTTGCTGCCTCTATCTTGTTTTTTGTTTTTTCTTCTGGGGGGGTCTAGAACAGTGCCTAGCACATAGTAGGCACTCAATAAATACTTGTTTGTTGAATGTCTCCTCTCTCTTTCCACTCTGGGAAACCTAGGTTTCTGCCATTCTGGTGACCCTGTATTTCCTTCTGGTGCCCATTCCTTCCATCTGTCCAGTTAATATTTCCCTCTTAAAAATCTCCAAGACGCTGGGTCTCATCCAGATCCCATTTAGAACCAACCAGGTGCTGAAAACCCATGTAGATAATGGCCACCATGCTAAGCCCAAAGTAGAAAGTGGTAGAAGGTAGTGGGTAGAAGTCACTATATAAGGGAGGGGATGGGATTTTCCATTCTAAAAGTTTTGGAGAGGGAAATCCAGGCTATTAAAGTCACTAATTTCCAAGTATGTCCATTTACCATCTCAGCTTCAAGGGAGGTGTCAGCAGTATTATCTCCACTTTCAATCTCCCTCCAAGCTCTACTCTTTGGAGGGGTCTGACCCACTCTGTCAAGTGGAATCCTTCCCTTTCCAACTCTACCTCCCTCATTCGAACTCCTTTCCCCTGATCAGAGAAAGGGATCAAGGGGGCGGGGGCGGGGGGAAAGAGACCAGCCTTGGTCCCTAAGCCTCCAGAAACGTCCTCTGAATCCCCATCTTTTTTTATCCCCAAAAAAGAACAAGCATCCCTGACTGGAATGGTGTATACTGCCACATCAGTGTTTGAGTCAATCCCCAGAGGAGAGGGGAACCCTCCATCTTTTTTTGCAACATCTCATTTCTTCATTTTGCTGTTGCTTCCCCCCCCACACACTTAGTTTTGTTCTTTCCTACATTTGAGCTTTCTATTTTGTGTTGAACTTGCTGCTTTTTTTCATATTGAAAAGATGACATCGCCCCAAGAGCCAAAAATAAATGGGAATTGAAAAAAGCTACGAGATGTGTGCTTATTTAGGGAAACACTGCTGATGGAGGCCTGGGGCCTGAGTTCAGGTGCACTGCTCTCCTTAAATTGACACTTCACAATATTAAGTTCCTGTCCCATCTATGGGTTCTGCATCCATGGATTCAACCAACTGGATATTGGGAAAATAGTTGTACTGGACATATACAGACTTCTCATTATTCCCTAAACAATAATAGTGTAAACTATTTACATAATATTTGCATTAGATTAGGTATTACAAGTAATGTAGAGATGATTTAAAGTACACAGGTTATATGCAAATACTACATTTTATATGAGGGACTTGGGCGTCTGCCGATCTGATATTTCAGGGAGGTACTGGTAAGGACACTACTGAATAGACCCTCACATCATTATCTCTGGTACCCAAACTGTTCTCAGCACCAGTCAGTCTTTTTAATGGAGTCTCTGACGGCTCACTGCAGCCTTGATGTCCAGGGCTCAGGCAATCCTCATTCTCCCAAGCAGCGGGACTGTAGGCATGAGCCAGGTGAGCCAATGCACCAGGTCCACCAATGAGTCTTAACTGGGGAAGGCATAGGCTTAGATACAGGATCCAGGGCTGGAAAATGGAAGCTGAGAAGAATGACAAGTCATGCATAACTGGTTTCCAGACCAGCATCCACATCCTCTGGAAACCTGCAGAAATAAATGGAAGTTTTTTGTCCCACCCAGATGAACTGAACCAGAAATGGTTGAACTGGCCTTGGCCACTCAGCCCAGGATTGCTTTGGGTTATGTGTACCCACGGCCGTTTCCTGTGATCCTATGGGCTTAGTCAACCTGTGACACCAAGATAACTAGTGAAGCCCTGGTATGGTGGCTCCCACCTGTAATCCCAGCACTTGGGGGACGAGGCAGGAGAATGGCTTGAGCCCAGGAGTTCCGCACCAGCCTGGGCAACAGTGAACCATCTAACCAAAAAAAAAAAAAAGCTGGGCATGGTGGCGCATGCGTGTAGTCCCAGCTACTGGGGTAGGGGGGGGGGGTTGTTGGCCAGGGTGGGGGTTGGGTGGGAGGGCGAGGCTGCAATGAGCCCTGACCGTACCCCTGCACCCCAGCCTGGGTGACAGCAAGACCTTGTCTTTTTTTTTTTGAGATGGAGTCTTGCCTTGTTGCCCAGGGGGGAGCGCGTTGGCGCGATCTTGGCTCACTACAACTTCTGCCTCCGGGGTTCCAGGAATTCTCCTGCCTCAGCTTCCCAAGTAGCTGGGATTACAAGCTAATTTTTGTATTTTTAGTAGAGATGGGGTTTCACCACGTTGGCCAGGGCTGGTCAAACTCCTGACTTCAAGTGATCCACCCGTCTCAGCCTCCCAAAGTGCTGGGATTACAAGCATGAGCCACTGTGCCAGGCCCAAAGTGCTCGGATTACAAGCATGAGCCACCACGCCCGGCCCAAGACCTGTGTTAAAAAAAAAAAGACAGTCGGGAATGCTACCTTACAGTCCCATTCTAAAACAATCTGTACCATCTGCTACCTCATACCTCATACTTTTAAGTTCTCAATGCAAGTCTCAAAGCTACCCTGAAAACAATAATTCCTTTTGCCATATTTTCAGGAATTCTGGGAACTAATACTATTCTCAACAGTCCTTCTATTTTAGCATGCTTTTCTGACCATAATACACTGTTGGGAAAAATTAACTCTAAAACTCTTGACAGTATATAAGTAACTTGCTTTTCTCCCATTCTAGAAAGCCTGTTTTATGCAAAGGAGGAAGCTACATTCTAGCGTTCATTTTCTTTCTAATAGAGCCAGGATCTTGCTTTGTCACCCAGGCTGGAGTGCAGTGGTACGATCACGGCTCACTACAGCCTCAGACTCCTGAGCTCAAGTGATCCTCCCACCTCAGCCTCCCAAGTAGCTAGGACTACAGGCAAGAGTCACCACACCTGACTCTAGCATTCATTTTTTTTTTCTTTTCAGTCTCACTCTGTTGCTTAGGTTAGAGTGCAGTGGTGTGATCTTGGTTCACTGCAACCTCCACTTCCCAGGTTCAAGTGGTTCTGTCTCAGTCTCCCAAGTAGCTGGGACTACAGGCACGTGCCACCCTACCTGGCTAATTTTTGTATTTTTGGTAGAGACAAGGTTTCGCCATGTTGGCCAGGCTGGTCTCAAACTCCTGACCTCAGATGATCTGTCTGCCTTGGGCTCCCAAAGTCCTGGGATTACAGATGTGAGCCACTATGCCGGGCCAAGCATTCATTTCCAGTTGCTTCTGTTTTATTAATTGTTGATAAGTATCAGTACTTACTTATAGCAATTTATTTGGGTAGCAAAGTTGAAAACCTCCAGCCCATCCTTCAGTCTTGGTCAGGAAAGTATTCTAGACAACAGGCTCCAACAGTCTGATTTAATTAGGAATTAAATAAGTTGAGATGGGGTGGAGTGGGATCATCAGAAGGCTGACATGGGACCGCTGGAGTTGGCAATCATAGCAGTGTGAGGTTGGCAAGGGGAGCAACCCCCTTCAAGACAAGGCACAAACTATTTGGCAAGGAGAGATGAGGGGTGGGACCTCACTGTCAATGGACATGCTCAGGGAGGCCAGTGGATTACATGCAACAGGAGGATCATTCAGGCAACTTCAGCTATGAGGCTGGGCATCTGTGAGGGCTGAAGGCTCAGGCTGTTCGCAAAGGCTTGTGATTCACCTGGCAAAAAGACAACAGCAGGTGACACTTGGGAACATTTGGGAGGTTGAGGCCCCTGCTCTCCTGGGCCCCCATTTAGATGAATGGGCTATAGGGAGAACACACACGGCCAGGAGTCTTCTTTCTGGTGCCTTACCTCATCCTGTTTCCCTAAGCAAAGACATCAGGATCCACATACAATAAATCACTCAAGAGAAGAGAAGGTGCAGAGCCTTGTTTGCACTCTCCTTAGCTATGAATATTCCACTGCAGGCCTCCAGGAGGCTCCAAGGAACCCAGTTTGAAGGTCATCGGTATGATCCAGGGCTTTTATTTACATATGCCTTTTTTTTTTTTTGAGACGGAATCTCAGTCTGTTACCCAGGCTGGAGTGCAGTGGTGCAATCTTGGCTTACTGCAACCTCCGCCTCCTGAGTTCAAGTGATTCTCTTTCCTCAGCCTCCCGAGTAGCTGGGCTTACAGGTATGCGCCACCATACCCAGCTAATTTTTGTATTTTTGATAGAGATGGGGTTTCACCATGTTGGCCAGGCTGATCTCAAACTTCTGACTTCGGCTGATCCATCCACCTTGGCCTCCCAAGGTTATGGGATTATAAGCATGAGCCACAGCGCCCAGTCCAAATATGCATTTCTTTCTCTCTCTCTTTTTTTTTTGAGATGGAGTCTCACTCTGTCACCCAGGCTGGAGTGCAGTGGCGCAATCTTGGCTCACTGCAAGCTCTGCCTCCCAGGTTCTCACCATTCTCCTGCCTCAGCCTCCCCAGCGGCTGGGACTATAGGCGTACAACGCCATGCCTGGCTAACTGTTTTGTATTTTTAGTACAGACAGGGTTTCACCATGTTAGCCAGGATGGTCTCCATCTCCTGACCTCATGATCCGCCTGCCTCAGACTCCCAAAGTGCTGGGATTACAGGCGTGAGCCACCGTGCCTGGCTTTTTTTCTTTTTTGAGATAGAGTCTTGCTCTGTCACCCAGGCTGGAGTGCAGTGGTGCAATCTCAGCTCACTGCAACCTCCGCCTCCTGGGTTCCAGCAATTCTCCTGCCTCAGCCTCCCGAGTAGCTGGGATTACAGGCAGACACCACCAAGCCTGGCAAATTTTTTTTTTGCATTTTTCGTAAAGATGGGGTTTCATTCGCCATGTTGGCCAGGCTGGTCTCGAACTCCTGACCTCAGGTGATCTGCCTGCCTCGGCCTCCCAAAGTGCTGGGATTACAGGCGTGAGCCACTGCACCTGGCACCATTTCTTTACCATACACATAATGCTTACTATACACCAGGCACTATTCTAAACACTGCAAATATTTGCTCGAGCCCCTCAACAATTCAACAGGGTAGTTTCTAATTATTAACCCAATTTTAAGGTGAGGAAACAGGTATAGAGAGGTTGATTACTTGTCCAAGATCACAGCTAGCAGGCATTGTAGCTAGGATTAACAAAACAGTGGTTCCAGAGCCTGTTTGCTGACCTCGACCATGATCTACAGGTGAATTAACTGGGGAACCAAGAAAAGCAGTGATATGCCCTGGAATTAATTAACTGTTAATAGGCTGCAACTAGTTCCCTATACTAGTGGGGTGACCACAAGCACAGGTTGCAGAGACAGTTGACCTGGATTTCACTCCAGCTGCACCAGCAGAATGAGCAGGAACATGCTGGAAGTTCAGTTTCTTGACTTTGTAAAACCCTATATACCCTAAGGGTAGTTTAAAACAACTCATTTATGTAGAAGCTTAGCACCGTGTCTGGCACACAGAAAGTGATTAATAAACATCAATGACTCCCAGGCCTGGATGCTGGTTAAATGCTACGCCTGCTGCGTTATACAACACAGGAACCTAGCAATTCTGCTCCTCAGCTCCAACCTGAGACCTCACCTGGGAGATGCTGACGCCTGTGAGTCTTTCCACACTCTCTGGCAGGCGGGTTAGAATGTCCAGTACTTCCCCAGTCACTTTGGCTGCCCCCATGGTCCCACTGCCGCTGGACACCAGTGTGATCTTATTGGCCGAAGTCAAGGGACCACTGATCTCCTCTGCCACCTGGCAGGAGAGAGATGCCCACTCAGTGCCCATGATCTGACCACACTCTTCATAAAACAACTTACCCTGGGTTTTAAGGTCCTCGTTCCATTGGTCATCCTTCCTTACTTTGGCCACTAATAATTCCCACCCCTAATTTAGGGTCCCCCTAGCCTGGTTCTCCCTAAGCCCCTCATTTCACCCCACCCCTTAGTCCCTGGTTCTATTTCCTCCTTTCTTGGTGCCCACACAACCTCCAGACCTGGGGCAGCTTCTCTAGCAG